CTGGGCATTAGCTGAAGTCAAAACATCTAAAATTGGATGAAACATTGAAACATTCTCATTTCCTGTAGCATTTTCAGGCTGTAACTGTGTCAATTATATTCTCTAACACTAAAATTATCCAGAAAGTTAATGTTGATGTAACTTTAAAGAAGAAATTTCTGTCATAAATGACACGAACAGATCCCTGCACTCTACAAATATTTACACACAGGAGTAAATCTCTTCTTCAAAGCCCTCCTACAGCTGTCAGCAGGAACATCAAGGAGATTATTACTCCTGATGAAGCATTTATCCCTGCATATAATACAGAAATACACCCAACAGAAAAAGTTCAGCATTTTTATGGAACTCAGTAGATAATTCCTCAGAGTCCCATCTGTGGTGCAAAGAACTATTTTCCTATTTAATTTCAAATTCACCTTTTAACTGCACGAACCTAATGGTTTCCAATTATTCCTCTGTACATAATACAAGCAAAAAGAGGCTGTGGAATGTTTCACTCTTATCTGGATATTGTCATTTTACTGTCTCAAACTTCTAAAAACAAGCTTTTGGCTGGGGAGGAAATCAGCCAGTATCAGACCTAGTGGGGAAACCCTGCACTTGCTCAATGTCTGTGGCTCTTACATAGTTCCAGATGTTCAGAGCATTAATAATGCACTAACTCAAAACCTCTTTTTGAAACTTTAGAATGTGCAAATTGCATTAAAACCTCTTTGCCCTCATTAATGGTATTGTTACAATCCCAGTACTCTGGAAAATGTTTTTTGGCATTTGTTTAACTTTGTGATATTGCCATTTACTCATTTTAACAGCCAGTGTTCAAATCTTAATGCTTTTAATAGGCTGGGCTAAACAGACTACCATCCTTTGGAAATTTATTGAAGTAATTTATTAAATAAGTAAAAGTTGTCTGAAAGCAGCATTGCTTTGTTTTATTGATGGCAGGAAAAATGGGTTTCTTATAAGTTATTTACAAACCCATGTTTCAGGAAAGTTTTAGAAATTAAAATATTGTCTTTTCAGACTTCTATTCATTGTCTGTTACTGAAACACTTGTTGAAAACAAGAATTTCTACCAATCTCATGTATCTCAGTCAGAAAAGGTTCTGTCTGAAATGAAGAAGAGCCAGACATTGAGAATTAATCATGAAATGCTATCTCTCCCTCAGCCTGCCATATCTGAAGGTGCCACATTTACATTATGCCAGGGTTTAAATCCATGTGGACACAGCCAGGGGTTAAACTGAGGTCCCTCCTGTTGATTCCAAATCATTCCCCTGACCCTGAACACTCTCAGTCTGTTGAAACCAGCTTCATGCTGCTCAGAGTTAATCAATATTGTTAATTCCTGCCTGTCTGGAGGTGTGGGAGGGTGCCAGGAGTGGTTTGTCAGCACAAGAGCAAACAACACCTGCCTGAGACTCCTCTGCAGGTTTGGTGGATACCTGACACAGGGAGAGGGAGCCAAGCAACAAGGAGAGGAGCTCCAGCCCAAAGGGATTTGCTGTCACCCAATCCTGGCTGTTCCCACTCCAGAAAACACCATCAGCCCAGAGAGCAGGAAAATGGGATGAGACTGACACAGCTTCAACTCTGAACTAGCAGCTCCTGAAGTTATGAGACAAATAAAAGCTCAACTGTGAAATTCAGCATTTATTTTTGTAACTGACAAAAGCTGCTGTGTGTCATCACTATAACCTTATCCCAAAATTGTCAAGGAAAACAGCCAGTGCAATGCAGCATAAATCATTTATATGCTAATTTATACTAATTGTGCCACTATTCCGTGATAATGGAATAGTTTGGGTTGCAAGGAACCTTTAAATGGGATCCAGTCCAACCTCCCTGCAACGAGCTCAGGTTTTCAAGCAGAGAATTCTTATCAGTTCCTAAGTTTACCTGTTGAAAACACTCATTCAAACCCTTTTCAACTACAACTGTAAAAATTCTCCTTCCAAGTGATGACTCCTTAATTAGCAGATCCAAATTAACCAACAATGCCTCAGAGAACACAACAAACCAAACTGACATTAACATCATTATCCAAAGCTTTTTTTGTTAAAAAAAAAAATGCTACTAAGAAAGGTCAGCTAATTCATCATGATGGATTATCACTAAAATTTATAAGCATTAGCATTTTTCTCCTTGCTGGATAGCCTGACTTTGATATGACACATATTGAATGAATCATCCAAGATGCAGGCACCAGGCAAGATATATCTTAATGCAGACAGGTTGGCAACATGAGCCCTAATGGGCCTTATCTTAATCTTGTTTAAAAGCATCTTAGATTTCTGGGCAATCTTTTCACCTTCTGATATTCTCTTTTATAGAGTGTTTTTTGCTGGAGTTGCTACTGATTTTCACATAAATGCATTTTTGCTGCATAGTATCACCAGTTTTAGGACCATTAAAAATGATGAAGCTTTGGAATTTGGTGAATGTTAAGATCAAGCTGATTTTTTAAAATGTGCCACAACTCCAACAATGACATTAAAAAATTCCATGTTGTTTGTGAATTACCCAACATGAACCATCACAGCTGTTCATAACAGACACCTATCAAACTTGGGGATGTACAGCTGATGGGCTGTTTGCCCATCCATACATTTTCCTCCACTGCATTACCTCCATATATTTCCTATACATATATTTTTAAACAGCGAATCATCAATTAAAAATATATTTACTCAAATACTTTATTAAGATAAAGGGAAATTTCTCTACTAATTGCTTTTTCCCCCATTCACATTGCAGGCAGTAATTCCCAACTGAAATCCACTGTACACACCAAACTAAATTCCAGCTCCATCAAATTACCTGGATAGAAAGTACTTGCAATTCAAAGCATTGTCTTCAGCCTTGCAGACAGGACAAAAAAACCACCTTTATTTGTCACTTATTCCAAAGTTGAAGCTTCAATTTATAAAACAGATTGAGCCATCAAAAAATCTGCTTAAATCATAATAGTGAGGTCCATGACCATGTGTATAAATCAGACCTTGACAGCCTTGAAAAATTTCTTTGAAGGCTGCAGCTTTTTAAAGAGAGGCAGCAATTTCCTGTGAAAATCACTTTTGAAATGCAAATATTCTTTATGATGATGAAAGAATACTTTGTTTTCCCTGTATTAATGTGCTTACATTATTCTGTATTTTCAACATATTAATCTCAGACTTAAAGGCAACCCGATCCTGAATAAAAGTAGAAGGAAGAAAAAGGGCATCCATAGAAAAATATTGGCAATGTGATTTTAAAATATCATCCTTCAATTGTCTGCAATTTCTATTTATCAATACTTTGCTGGGCTCAGGGAGTGTTCCTACAAAGAACAGAACACTCAGCGTGTGTGGGGTGACCTTTCAGTGAGGCAGAAGGGCAGGGGGAGGAAGGTTCCAGAGCTGGCCAGCAATTGTTTTCCTCCTTTATTAAATGTCATTACAAAGTCTTTCTGTACTTGCAATTCACATTGATATTCTCATAAAAACTTCCATATATATTTGTCAGGTCTAGATATGGAATATCAACTCTCCAACATGACACACTTAGAAACATAATGCTGGAAAGTGAAAGATGCTCCAGTTAAATTCTTAAATGAATTGGAGATTTCTTGTCAGATCATTTCCTTTGCATGGGAGTGCAGGGTTTTGTGAGGTTAAATAAATTTATGGTCAGCAATCTGCTTTTTTCAGGGGCTTACATTACATGGTCTGATGTGGTCACCTAATGGTTACTGTCAGGAATTGCACTGTGGTTCCAATTCCTAAAGATATGCAGGCAAGAAACAACCCTCCCTTTACAGCCTGCCAGTTAAATAATAAAAGATGAAGGGTTTGTAAGAAAATAATAAATAGTTTCTTTTTCATTTTGTAAAATATTCTCTGCTTAGGAACCTTAGGGATGAGTAGAAAGGTCTGAAATTCTATGTCCCTTATGTTGGTGTTTTCAATCATTTGCTAGGATTTTTTTGACAGGTCTTTGTGTTTTGTCTGTTAAGACGATTTTTAAAAATCACAAATGATCATTTAAAATTTGAAAAGTCACACTCTTGCAAGCACTACAAGAAAAATGAGTATGAGTTACAGAATTATCTTACAGGTTTATATTCCTGTTCCTGACCATAAACAACAGTAACAACAAATAGAGAAGAAAGCAGAACCAAGGGGAGATCCAGATTAACCATAATTAGATAACTGTTGTCAGTGAAATTAGATATTACATAGTTTGAAATGGAGAAATTTGATTCCTTTCAGCCAATGTCAGTGAGCAATTCCCCTGACTAAAGAAAAATACACTCCAATCTCCAGTGGAGTGAAAAGGAACAAGAAACAAGGGAAGGAGAAATTAACTGGATGAATTCTGCATTCTGATAGCACAGAAAGAACATGCAAAGACATTCTAGCTGCTGAGTTATACAGAAAGTATCATTTCATTATGTGATTTTTAATTTTTTTCTCAATAAGCAATTTCTAAACCTTCAGGGAAACAACATAAGGAAAAATTATGGATCTGGCTGGTTTTATGATAATGCTAATTGAAATTATTGTCTGTGTTAATAAGTGCATCTGTTGAGAAAAACCAAACCTGCTTGCTCATGAAAACAAACCCAAATGCCAAGAAATAAGAATATAATCCCACTGTGTTATTACAATGCATTTATTTGATAAACATTTCTGTATGTTGATGCATAAAGCAGAAGATCACACATATATTGGAGAAGGAGTAACATTACCTTCCATTACTGGGAAGTGACTTAAGAAGTAATTTCACAGCAAATTATGGAAGTTAAAAGTATTTCGTTATTTGGCCTATGTTTGAATACACTTTTTGTGAAGTGCTTGGCATTTGCTGATCTCTGGAACTACTTAAATTGTTTTTATGGTATGTTACTTCTGTGAAATTAGGAGAAAGTTTTAGTGTGCTGGTTTCTTAACTGGGTATTAACAGTGCGTTTTCAAAGGTGTGTGGTTTGAGGGGAAGAAGAACAATTTCCTTACCTTGTAGGATGGCAAAAAGCACAAGATTCCTTGGCCAAGTGTCTGACAGACTGACAGCAGCAGGGCTCCCACCTCATCCTGGAACTCGAAGGTCTCTGTGTGCTGGAACGTAGCACACAACTTCCGCCCGTTGGGGCCCGCTCCCACCGTGCCGACCCAAACCTGAGGTGTCCCACAGGGAGAAAGTTAATCTAAACCAGGCTGGATAAATCACAGCAGGTTCAATAATGAAATTATAAGTGTGAAAGAAATATTGAGATATTGCTTAAATTCATTTCAGTACTTGAAGTGCAGTAATTGATATGAGATGGCTGTTACCAATACAGCACGAGGAACTTTTCTAGGGAAATGTGTCTAAAAATTGCCTCTTTATTCATTTGAAAATGTCCTTTTCCATTGCAATCAGCCAAGCAACAGTCTGGACCTTTCTTTTAACTGACAGAAAGTTTGCCATCACTTTTATTTGGTTTTTGTACCACGGGCAGCATTAGAGCTCAGGAGAGGGAACAGCCATGCCCACTTTACCTGGGAATTCTGGATAACATGATTCGCCTCCAGCTGAATGGAAAACTTCACACCAAGCTCTGAGGAAAATGAATCCATGGGAGAGAGTGTGCCTGATGTCAAAACAATTGTTCTAACTTCATTTAAGTCAGAAAAAGCCTGTGTGAGAGAAAGAAAAGCAGGAATTTAGAAAATCAACACAATCCCTTTCAGATCTGATGTGTGTTTGTTATCACTCAGATTATTTTATCTTTTCTTCACACTCAGCTCACCACAGCAGGGTTCAAGCACCAAAAATTCAGCATGTGGACAAGGGTTTTCTGCCTTGAACTCTTTTTGTGCTTGGGCCTCATGAAGAAGGAACTTGTATCTGCATCATCACGTTGGTCTTCAGTCATCCAGGTGTAAGTTTGTTGTAGAGCAACCCTGTAATCATCTGCAAACCTATACAGAGAGAGAAATATCAGTAAAAACTACAATTAAGCAATCAAATTGTGAGCATTCAGCTGATAAATGTTAGACCTGACCTGCTGTTCTCTTTGAAAAGACAGGAAAGGACCATGAACAGGCCTTTGAGCACGATCTGTGCTGCAGGGCTCACAACTGGCACCTCAATAAGTTCCTCTCTCCCATGCATAGATACTTTTTCTTCTTTTTCCAGGACAGCAGCAAGATGTTTCTGCAAGAGGCAAATTCCATATTAACAACATTCTTAGTGTCTTCTCAAGACCAAAGTTAATAGAGATATGACTGTCAGCTCACTGCTTTAGAAGTTCATTTAAAATCCCTATCAAGTCAGAGGGAAAGGGGCAAAGAAGGGCCAAGGGAAAGGAAACAATACTTTCAATTTTTAACAATGCTTTTAACATAGCTGGCTTACACAGAAGGGAGGGTAAACTTGAAAATAGGGCAAAAACATTTCAACACAATAAAAATGCAGCTGGATAGAACAGGCAAAAATATCACTGCCTCAATGGTTCAATTCAAATAACTGTATGTGAGCAATTGAATCCTTCAAAACATTGATTCTCCAGAAATTCCAGTAGCTCAAGTGGATTACTCCTGGTTTTCATCAGGAATCATTTTCAGACAACTTTTCAGTGTTGCAGTAAATTAAAATACCTGTTTCCATTTAACTTATGTGCATTTTAAGATGCTTAACATATTATGCATGGTGGTGCTCATTTATACAGCACACAACATTACCTGTAAAATGGGAAAAGTAATCCCAGTTATTCCCATTTTGTACAGAAAGTTGAGCATTTCTTTGCCACTCCACACCTTACAGGCAGTTTCATAGGCTCTCTCCACCAGCTGCCCAGAGCTCTCCTGCAACCAGCTGAAAGAGAGAAAAAACAGAAATCATTTCGGCATTGATTTCAGAGATTTAGACACTTTGCACATACAAAGCAAACCTCAAAAATTGCACCAGATTTTAAAAATGATGATGGTTTTACCACATGTAAGGAGAGAGATTCTGCTTTTCCTTTATTCCTGTTTTTCACCGTTGAACTCCCATGGAACTGCTTTGGATGCAGCTCATTGAAATGAGAAGAAAATTTCTCCCCACATGTTTATACTTTATATAATAGATAATGAAGAAGAGGAATTAAAATGTAATTTCTTCTTATGATATGTCAGGCTCATTCAAGCAAGATTTCTGCTGCATATCTAAAACCACTCATCACTACTCCAATTGCTGCAGGTTGGTTTATCATCCCTGTCAATTGCTGACTTTCCAATTAAAAACAAATCCTGAGACATGAAATGAACACTTTTAATATTTACACATGGAAGGGAAAGTGGGGCAATAAAGAGTGCCCATTTAAACCTACCCACAGGTATTGGTAACTGCTGCAGCTTGAAGCAGAATTATAATTGTAATACAATGCAAAATGTGATTGAGTGCTAAAAGCATGAGCTAAACATGGAGATCATCTAATTTGTGGCAGAGCTGGAATTTTCTCTGGGTGAGCATGTCCTCTTTCATTCCTGCAGTACCACAAGCCCTTGTCTCTGGTTAGAAAAGCAAGCAGCTCCCTCTCTCCCTCCCTCCCAAGAAAGGCTGGAGCTGTCTGCTCCATCAAAAGGCAGGAGGCATCAAAAAGACAGCTGTCAGTGCTGCAACAGCTCAAAATATTTACCTGCAAAACCAGTTCATCATTAGCAACTCAAGAGCAAGGCTCTGGGACTGTTTCAGTTCTACATTTCCTGCCCTGTCACCACAAATAATCTGATCCATGGAACAATTAAAATATAACTTCCCTTCTGCCAGTTTAAATGCAAACAAAACCCCACTAATACTTCACAATCACTTCTCTGGCTAAAATTTGCTTTATTTCATTAAGGAATGGTGACCACTAACACAAATGGAATTTGGCCCCAGCTTCTCAAATGTAGCATCAAAAAGAACTGGAATTGAAATTAGGACAAGGCTCCTGTGACAGGAATTAAACAGATTTACAATGGGCAAAACACTTCAGGCAATGTAAAAATGTTTCCCTGTTATGAACTTGAAACAGCACCACATACTTTTGAAATAATAAATGCAAATACAAACTTAACACAATGGCCAAATATCACCAAAAAAACACCCTAAATTCTCAAATAAATTCCATCTAACATTAAAGCATTTACTTGCAAAGCCTGTTAAATCATTTTTAGAGCTAAGCAGGAAGCATAAATAAAATTAGCTCAATTCCCAGAAAGGTTATCTCTGGTTTTGAAGTGAAAATTGCTGTATGGAGTATTTCCAGGAAAAGAATGAATGGATGCTGCACACATGCCTTCAATTCCAGGAAGAGTATTTGCTGCTTCCCTCACTACCAGAAAATTCCACTGTTGACACAGCATATTCCATTGACCAAAGTGATGAGTCCTGCTAAATGTGCATCTCAGCAGCAGAGCCTGCCAGCACACCTCCACTGGCCTAGCTGCAAATTCCTCACAAAGGTCACTGCAGCACCCCTGTGGCACTAAGCCCATCCTTAAGTGCTTTCTGGAATGAGGGCCCAGGATCTTTAGAAGTGAAATAAGATTTTTTTTTTTCTAGCTCCCCATGCATTTGGCAAAGCCATGTCACTGTGCAGGTGCATTTTACCTATTACTGGCCATTTACACCCAGTCTTCTGCTTTCCAGCAACTGCTTTTCATGCTGCTGGCAGATTTGCCAAGACAATCAACCTTAGTTTTCCTGATAAGGTTAAAAAGCTTGAGGCAATCAAATCTTCAGCCATGCTATTCTTATCTTTTACTAAAGTTTAACATTTGAAATATCCAAGGTAGGAGAATTGGCTTCTGCCAAGCAGAAAAAGTCCCTTGTCTCTGTGTGACACAAACATTAACTCTGAGCAGAGTGAGGATGGGAGAGTGAACTCCTCCTGTGCTGCACAGGCTATTGCAGCAAAATGAACACTGAAGCAGAACTCAGTTAACTGCAAAGCCACTTGTACCATTATTCACCTTTTTCTGCTGACTTTGATACTTGTACTTCACCCAAAAGACTTTGCCCTGAACCTCTTGTTTCTTCCTGGACTTCTGTCCATTTGCTTTTGTTACATCCCTTCTCAAGATTTTCAACTTACGCTCAGCTCTTCTCCTTCCAGGAAGTTGTTTCCCAGGGAAAACAAAGGGCATGACTGATAAATTCACTTTCAACTATGAAGAACTGAGTGGATACCAATCTGATTCCATGAACAGATTCTAAACCATTCCAAATACTTTCTCTCCAAGAAACTGAAAGCATTTTATAAACATGAACTAATTAATTCTTTGACACAATAATGCTATTACTTATCAAATAAGCAAACAAATCTGTGAAATACAAAAATTAATCTTACGTAAATTTTCATACTGAGCTTTATAAACCAGGAATTCAAAAAAGCCCCATAAAGAGCAGCACATCATTCAAGAGCACTTTTCAAAGGAGAACTTCAATGTTTCCATGCGAGACTAGCAATTCTTTCAATAGATCAAACCCTGTGGATTCCTCAAATGAACATAAATCAAACAACTGCAGAGTTGTAAGTGTAGCTTTGTTGCATTTTATCTGATGTGACAGAGTAACTTACACCATCAAAAGGAATCAAGAGTAATTAAATTGATAGAAAGCAATAAAAAAGTTGCCTTACTTTATCAAGGAGCAGCACACAGCTCGGAGGGGCTCATGGTGCTTCTGCCTGATGTTGCTGTTGACCATGAAATCGAGCTCCTCTCGGGCAGCTTGCAGCTGCCTCTCGGTAACCCCGTAGCTCACGGACTCCCGAGCACAGTCCTCAATGTTGTGGGCTTCATCCAAAATGACTACTTGGTCTTTTAGGTTAATGTCCATCTAGTGAAACAGAGTGAAAGACATGAGAAACAGCAACTAACAGGATCCTGTTAAAAAATGCATATTCTGCATCACAGTGCAAATTAAGCTTTTTGGGTTTTGAATCAATTTTCATAACCTAGAAACTACCCAACGGGGGAAAAATCCTCAAGAGTTATTTTATATATTTTTATATTTTGGACACAAATGGGATCTCAGCTGACCATAGAAACATAATATTCAGTGGGTAATTTCTTTTTAACTTCAGTTCTTGCCACTTCTCACCAATATACTCACACTGTCCCGGATCTGTGGGTCCAGGAGATAATTGTAAGGACAGAACACGATGTCTGCCCCCACCATGAGCTCTCTGGCTGCAAAATAGGGACAGGCACGGAGCTTCCTGCCCAGGCTCACCAGGTCCTCAATGTCCCAAGCCTGGCAGAGGCCAGCTGCAGGTTGCAGGGCATGCTGCTCACTGAGCTTGTGAACACCGTGGTAATAAGAGCAGGACTTGCCCTGAAAGCAAAGAAGTGCAGAGGCAGTGGGTACAAGAAGTAAGGAAAACCAAGCAGGCTAAAATCCTCCAATGTTCCATGCATTTGGCTACTTCTCAGAAACTTTCCTAACAGCTGCTCTTTATGCCAGACAATAACACCTCATGTCAAGTAAATCCATGTTTCTAAAATGTACATCAATAAAGGACCCTTTTTTCTTCTTCATTTATAAACCTAGAGATAATTTAACTCTTATTACACCATTAACCTGGCAATCATAAATCTTACTCCTGTCATTGTAAGTTTTTACAGTAGTGCCACTGTGTATCAACATTTTCTAACAATTAATATTTGATTCCAATGACACCAGGTGGTATTTAACCAATACAATATAGAGAAGTAAAAAATGTCCCTCATTCCAGCTGTTAAATCCGACTTTGTTTAATGAATGCTCATTTTCTCAAATAAAATGACTCACATGTTTTCCTTCCAGCAACTCTACACACATTTCATTCCTGTTACTACTGTTGGACACCACTGGATGAATACAGGTGTAATCCCTGCTGGAAAGGATTGTCATGGGGACACTGGAATATGCTGTCCTCTTCAGCTCCCTGCTGATCTGGGTTATTTGCTTGTGTGTTCGTGTCCCAAAAAAAATTTTGGGAACACACAACCGATCTCCATTTTCTTTCTTCTTTGTGTGACTGGGATCTTTATCAGGTTCTCTCCCAGAAGAACAGGAACACTCAGTGCAAGGGCCAAGAGGCTGCAAACCAAGACAAAAAAATGATGCACAAAATCCCACTGTGAGATGAATGTGCTGAATCTGCTTATGGTCTGGCAAGTGCCCTCTGGGATAGTTAGTTCAGTCACCAGGGCTGCCCATCAAGCTGCAAAAACTCCTGAAATGTTAAAGCACCATATGCTTCTGCCTGGAAATTTCTAAAACAAAAAACCTACCAGCAATCACAATTTTATCATAACCCAATCAGAAAGAATTATTAATCCTGTGGAATATTTACACACGTGAATAATGCAAATAAAGCTTCTCACACTGAAGCTTCAGCTCAGGACACTCCTGTTACAGAGCAAGAGTGCAAATCCTTCAATGAAGAAAACTTGGAACAGACACTCAAATTAAAATAATATTTTTTCCTTAAAGCAAGCAGAAGAACTGAAGACAGCTCAGGAATTCTGTGTGCAGATAAAACAGACTACACCACACACTCTCCATTAGAAACATGTTTGCCGTGCCATTCTGCCAAAGGCCATTGAGTAACCAGGAGAATAAAAGAAACATAGGGAATAATTCTAAACAGAACCTAATCCTGTAAAATATTTGTTAAAAGCCATTTTTTTTCTTCCTGAGAAGCACCACCATCAGATCATTAAATACTGAAACAACTGACATGAAATTGTCATAATGAATTTGAGAAGACACATAGGAAACAAGGAACTCAAGTGTAACCATGTCCAAACACACCTCTCATGGAAAATCAAGAGTTCTTCCAGAGTCAGGCAGTTTGTATCTGGGCTCCAGGTGGTAGTGCAGGTAACAACACGTAGCTGCCCACTGCAGTACTCTTCCCTCCCTTTAATTGGATCAGTAAGATTATCCATTACAAACAAATGCTAAGTCATGCTGTGTGTTACACCACAATTCTGGGGATCAAGCTGTCTTCAGCTTCCACTCCAAGGAAAAGCAAGTTCTTGTTACCCTCAGCCCCACTCAGCCTTGTCTGCCATTAAATATTACAATACATGATAGAGAGCATGTAAATGTAACCCTCTGGAGCTGCCACTCACTGGGATAAAAGGTTCACTGATGTGCCAAATAAACAGGCCTCAAAGCAGATAAAGTTACACCCATGCTGGAATTGTTACATTCCCCTCTCAGGTTGCCAGGAACAGCAGATTTCATTACCCTGTGCTGCCACATGAAATAGCCAGTTCCAAATATCCTGCCTTCTATATTGAATAATTACTTATTCACTGAAAGGATAAAAAGAAGAGTTATGAATGGGGCTCTTGTCACCAGGCAAGCAGGAAACAGCTGACATATGGTATATGTTACATACGTGCAATGCCCAGCTCTGTGCTCACACTGAAAGCTCCAATGCTACCTTGATATTTCTATCACTTAGATTCTGCTTTGCTCTTGGAAATAATGAAAATCACATTACCAAGCTAAAAATTAATTTAACTGAAGCAGTGACTGGGCAGAGCTTTTAAGAATATGTCTATCTTTTAATTTTAATCCAAGTCAGACTGTGTTTTCAGAGGGAAAAACAATACACAGGACACCAAGATGAGACTTTACCATTAATATTTCACTGCTATGGTAACCCAAATGAAAAGAATTGAAAAATATTAAGAACCATCAGGCAGCTGTTTTGCCAGAGTTCTTAGAACAACAGGGAAATGCAGCTCAAATTAATATGTAAAAACATGAACAGAAAGTTCTCCTATCATGGGCTTAAAAAGATATTATTCTTTTCATAAAAAAGAAATAAAGTGTTCTAATGTGTGAGGCTTATAAATTACAGTATTTTACAGGTGAGCTTAAAAGTTTGGTTTAAGAGGTTTGGAATTGGTATAATACTGGCATTAGGAGGCACTTTAGCCATTATTTCACTACTAAAATGTTACCTTGAACTTTGAAAAAAATTTTATGTTCAAAAAACACTCAAACCCACAATATTGAGAAAGTTGTAAACTCAGGCTGATTTTATAGTAAGCAGTTAAGAAATTTTGCCTGCAGTAGTCACAGCATTTCTGAAAGCCACAGCTACCATTAGCCCCAAATACTTTAATAAATAAAACCTTTTTAGAAGGTCCTTCATAATGAAGAAAAACTTCAGAAAATTGGTTAAAACACAGTTTAAAAGTTGAGTTCTCCGTATTCTTTCCACTCCAGTGAGTCGATTTGCACTTGAATCCTTAAAATATATCTTTAAATTTTATTGAAGGCAAACTATTTTAACTCTGTATTTCTCTAAGAAGAATGAACTGTGGATATCATATAGCAACACCTAATGTAGTGTTCCTCTCCCATTCTTACAGCAGAAAGAAAAAAAACTCCCCATGAAAAAGGGGTTTCCTTGGTAGTGTTGTCTCAAAGCACAAATTTTTACAATCATACCACAGAGATACTGGTTTAGATGTAACAAAATTAGAAAATGTTTCAATTTATGAAGGAATTAGGGGAGGAGGCTGATTAGAAATAATTCATACTGAGACAACAGAATTGTATTTCATAATACCCTCCGGCTTCAGAACTAAACCTGTTTTCAGCTGTTGGAATCTGAAAGAGGGATTTTCATTTGGAAGAGGGCAAAAAAAGATCCTCCTGTACTTTCTGCAGTATTTAATCAGAAACACCCAGGAACAGATGCCATTAGAGATCAGATATCAGCCCATATGGACCTTAGGCTAATGCAGCTTGTTTGTACTTCTGTCAGGGCTAGATAAAACAGTCTATCACATCAATATTTATATGGCAAAAACGTGGAAGTCCGATTAAAAAAGGAATAATCAAGTCTACCACCCTGTACTGTGTGTAAAATAGAGCTAAACAAACACTGGGGCTGTGATCTTTGAAACACAAAGAGGTAAGAGGAGTTCTTCATATCTCCATCTACATTTCCCAGTTACAAAGCCACCTGAATGCTGCAGCAGTGAATGTCTCTTGTGTGAAATATCACACAAGCACAATCTAGGGAGATATCAGCAGTGACATTAGCAGAGCTTTTCAACTGCTCCTTTGGAAGCTCTCAGAAAGCCCAGTATTCTGCTGCTGCTGCAGCCTCTTGTTTAAAGCACACAAAGCAGCTGTTTATCCTCCCCTAGTCACCAGCAGGTGAACCCGGTTCAATATTTATCACAGGCTTTCACAGATCACTGCTAACCAAGCAAACGTTTTAATTAAGCTGGAACTTGCTTCAAAGAGCTCATTCAAAACGTCAATCAGCAGGAAAAGGATCAGATACGGTGTCAGGTGAGAGCATGTAATACAAATCCACAACTTTCTTCATCCCATCGTGGTAAATTAGCCCCTTCTGGAGTCCAGACCCTGATTGTAACAGGCTGCCAGTCCCCTGGAATGTGTAACAGAAGTCACTCAAACCCCTTTGTGCAGGTTGTAAGCAATATGTTAAACTGCAATGGGCTAGCACATTAAGACAGATTCTTTTCACAGTTGTTTTTTGATACCCCAAGTGTTTGTTACACTACTCTCCATTTACTGTTTACTTTCTTTCCCTGCTAGAAATGGGGATTCCTTAACCCAGCTGCCCCATTTTCTCAGGCCATATGCTTTGACAGAAGCAATCAAGAGAGTATCCTGAGGTTATATTTTCCCCTTAAACTCACACTGGAACTGCCCTCCCTTGCAGGAGTTAATACAGAGATGGATTCCCAGGCTCTGGAGTGAGTGAGAGCAGCTGAGAACAGGTTTGGATGCTCAGCCACACATCTGGGATGCAGCAGTGCTGGGCAGCACCTCTCATGCTCTTACAACAACCAACCCATTTTCCCTCTTGCAGTATAAACAGACTCGATAAGAAACTAAATCTGCTTTGAGCAGAGGGTTGAGCACTGTAGAACACAGGTTTTTCACAGGCAGGCTTGCCTAAGTGAGCAGGACAATGCTGTTATCACATTATTGTATCACCCCAAACACACAGTCCATTAGGGTTAGTGTTGAACAGAAGCTCTGTTGACTTCATTGCTTAAGCCACCCTAGAAAAGCATTTTTACACCTAATATCCTGTGCAGCAATGCCCTTCCTGTTGTAAACTAAATGCAGTTAAGGCTCAGAACTACTAATGAGAAATAAGGCATCTTCCTGCATTTTTCTTGATACCAGACAAGTTCTCAGTCTGCTAAAGGAAAAGCTCATCACAGCAAAATAATACCTTATTATTTCATCCTTAAAAAGAAACTTAAACAGAAATGATCTCCATTCTTTCTTCTTAGGTTACTTCTTTCTAAAGATGTAGCAAACAGTATACTGTTTAGTTTCCAATCTTCTCCAAGACACGACATTTCTAGAAGTTTTAAATCAAATTTTTCATGTACCCACACCAAAGTACAAAAGAAAATTTTACAATCAGGAAAGACGAAAGGTCTTTTTATTTGAAAAGGAATAGCACACTCTGGTGGCGTTTTGGTTTTAAACTACCAATTGAAATTCAGTGGCACAAAGCATTTCAAGTCTTACTCAGAAATCTACAGAGCTCTCCAAAACTAATAAAAACTACCTCCCATCAAATGGCCTACAACACAGATTCACTTCTGTTAAGAAAATATTTAGCTCCAAGTATCTTCCAGTAATCCTATAGATTTTGGTTTCCTTTGTGGCTACCACATCACAACGTGGCCTCTCACACTCAGCCCTCTACTGCCTCACATCCCCTCTTCTACTGCTTTTGCTCCAACAAACATTTATGTAAAATCTATTTTCAAGCAGTAAGAAATGCAGAAAATTACTATCAAAGCTGCAGAAACAGGTGCCATTTGCATCTTAACTTCTGATGTGATACTTCTGTTACAGAAAAATGGAAATAAAAACAAAACACTGAGGAACCTTTGCATCAGCTGCAATGTTTGCTCGAACTTCATTAAGCTGCATTTCATGCATAATCCCTTCACATAAAATACTGTTCAAAATTGTTCTTCAACTAACACTCCTGATGTAAAAGATACTACTGAATTACTCACTGTTTGGGGAGAAAAAGTAGCAGATTTCATGCTTTTATCAGAGTGAACAATCAGCTCTCCATTTTTCCTCTGATGATAAACTTCTAAAGCATCAACCAACTGCACTCCTTTTGCAAAGCACTGACGTTTTCTAACCTGCTGGGGAAAGAAACAGTGTAAAAATGCACTGGGCAGAGGGATGTGCTCACACTGGCAGTCCTGGTTTTGTTTCAGCTAAGTCTGGTTTAGTAACTGGGCATCAACAGTTTAACCAAATCTAAGGCCACACAAAAGTCATTAAGGAAAGCTATAAAGTTTTAATTATAAAAGAATCTGTAGTTATTGCTGAGCTTTTCTGCTTTGCTTTCCCACTGTTACAAAACTTACAAGATTTATAACACCATCAACTGGGAATAAATATATTTGGGGGATATTACTTGTCTAAATGTGAAAGATTTTAGGACAGGGTATAATGAACAATGTATTTCAACAATGGACTCCTTTGTAAGAAGTAACAATAAAAATGAAGAAAAACCCTGTCACTCTAAGCTGTGACTGGGATATGATTCATTATTGCCCACACCCTCCTCTGTGCCATTAACTGGATTTGAGAGTTTGGTTGAGCTACACACGGATTATTTCACTGCCCACAGACTCTGCTCACCTGCTGCTCTGTTTCCAAAGGACGAATCCTTTTTCTGTCTACTTGAAAATCATCGTTCTCACTGGCATGAAGAGATAACTTTTTTTTGGCAGACAGCTTTGAAGCTAGTGTTTCATTTTCCTTACATTCTGTAATTAATAAAATAAAATGGAAAGCCACTACTAGGGATGCATTAAATAAGTGCAACATTTTAAAATACAGTTTCTACCGAATAGTGACTAGAAATACTATAAATGTATATGGTGTAGGAAGCAGTGTTAGACATTTCTAGACACATTAACCACTGTACAGATTTCATACAGGGCAGAAGCATGGCTGTATTATGATGGTAAAAAAAAAATCCCTGGCTTGAAAGCAGCAGAATTTTATCTGCCTACAGATGACGTTACCTGTGTTTGTCAGTGGGCTTCCAGGTTTTCTGGAAGTTCCTGTATTAGGATAATTGGCAGAACAAGGAGCACTGTGAGTCCCACTTGCTGAAGCCTCGTTGCTCTTGGGCTGGGAGTGACACTTGCAGTGACACGGTGGGGACGGCTCTGCCTTCCTGTCCTCCTTGTCACACGATGAGGTTGGCACTGGTTTCTCTGGGGGACAAAGTCATTTGCCTGTCATTAAACCCTCCAGACTCGACACGAGAGCCAGAGGTGCACAGCAGTGAAGATGAAGTTCAGGTACCAGTCCAGCTGAACAAGCTGTGGTCACCCTCTGAAGAACTGCAGTGCACAGAAAGGAAAACACCTCCCTCTTCCCATTCAATCCACACAACCCACAAGGGTTTTCTTCCAAAGTTCCAACAGCCACATTCCCTTATGGGATCTAAACCCAGCTCAGCATTACTGCTTTATGCTGCCATTAAGGTGGTGGACCCAGACCTGAAACCAAATGTTTAAAGGCTGAAGAAAAAAAATTATTTTATATTTTGCAATAAAAGTTGTGCAGACACTAAGACACTTACCATACAAAGCCTGCTGCCATGATAATGCAGAACAAAGTAATGCCAAGCTTTTGCCACTTCCCGTGGGGCTCTCCAGCAAACAGTGCTGCCTGCTATTCAAGCCTTTAACAATCTTTAAGAAGCATAAAAGAAACAGAATTAACAGAAAACAAAGCAGATGTTACCTAATCTTAGCAATAACATCCTAATGTCCAGCCTAAACTTTCCCTGGCACATCTTAAAGCTGTGCCTGGTTAAAACATTTTAAAAATGTTTAACTATAAATGCAATAATCCATTTAGAAAAGTTCCTCAAAAAAATTAAAACTTCTTGAAATATTACTATACATAATTATTATGTTTAAGCAACGTATTCCCCCCTCTAAAATCTTGAACATTTGCATACAGCTGCAATTTCAGCATACCTAGATGAACAACCACATAGTTTCACCACATGGAACTTGTTTCTTGGCATAAATGCTCCCAAATCCAAAATGTACCTCCCCCATTCCCTAATCATGGCCCAGATACTGCACAGCACAGAGAACACTGAGGGGTTACCACTGAAATTCTCAACTGCAAGCTCTGAATTTAATGTATCAGCTTTCTAAATGCTAACAGAGATTCTGGAAGTCCAAATACTGGAAAACACAAGCTCTTAGTCTGGCAAATGCCAGTGTAAACTCTACTCACAGCATTCATCATGGCGAGCTGGGAGGGGTAAGCCTTGCAGGGGAAGAGGATCTTCACCCCCCCAATTGTATATTCTGCCCCATCAGAAGGCATGGCCAGCTTTTCTCCCCTCTGCTTCAGGTTTAAAACTGCAATTAAAAATACAGAATTAGTAACTCAATGCTAACAAGCAAATAAATAAATAAAAAACACCATGAGCTGCACACACCAGTTCAGATTCAGTTAGCCAGACTGGAGATAGAACCCAAATCCACACAGGAACAGCATTTTAGAATATGAAGTAACTAAAACCAGCCAGTTTTTTAACTCTAAAGTTCCATCAGCTTGAACTGCAAGATGTCATAAACTACAAACATATAGCAGCTTGCACATTTATAACAATGAAAAAAAATCTGGACAGTGACTTTAAAAATGGGATGCTTAAAAACATCTTTCTTCCATAAATAATACAGCAATTAATCAGGAGAAAAGGAGCATCACTTAATTTACTATTCTGTGTTTATTTCCTTGAGTATCTCGGAATAATAAAAGACTGACAATTTCCCTGTGTTAAAAAGGTGAAATTATCGAATGAAAAATACTAGAGGCATAAATGGCTTTAAGTGACAATATTTTTGAACAACATAGGGGGATTCTTTTTTTTCACAGTTTTTCAACACTGACAAAGTAAGACAGCAACTTTAAACTGGCAGATTCTCAGGGATAAATTAACTCATCTGACTTTTAATAATTAAACATATACATCATATGTATGGCACGATTCAGCTTCACCATCGAGCTTAGGAGAAAACAATTCTAGCAAAAAACGACGGCTGACATGGTTTACATCCAACCCCTCCTTCCAGAAGGAAAGGCCACCTCACTCCAAGGCTTTTCCCCAACCCATTCTGGGAGGAAGGCTCGCCTAAACGAGCACAACTCCCCGCGAAGTTTGCCCCTGAGGAGGAGGAGGAGGAGGAGGCAGGGCCCGGGACACCACAGGGACCCTTCGTGCTGTGACCAGAGCCACCAGGCACTCCCCGCAGCGACATCTCGAGCCGGGCAGAGCCGCTTCGCTGCCCGAGCGTTTAGGAAGCGGTGGGGCCGCCCCAGCCCAGCCCACAAAGCAGCACCTGGGCGTTCGCTTCCTCTGTGCGCTCGGCGAGGCGGAGGCGCCGGCAGCCGCTTCCCCCGCGCCCCTCACGGCCCCGCACCTGCGGCCCTCAGCGCCTCCGTCCTTCCCGCCTCCGCCCCAGCCAATCAGCTGACAGGAAAGCGCCACGCGCCGCCAATCGGCACAGCGCATACTGGGGCGCTCCCGCCTTCGCCTCTGCGCACCGACAGCCAATCACAGGGCGTCTTGTTGGCTTCCGGGTGGTACGCGTTGCTAGGCAACCGCGCTTTTTGTGAAATACTCAACTATTTATTACTATTATTGGCCTTTATCATTAGCATTATGGCTAATATACTTCTTATTCTTTTATTTTGTTTTTATATTTATTATTTTTATAATATTTTATATTAATTGCATATTATTATTATTGGGTATTATTATTGTTATTATTATTAGGTATTATTGGGTATTATTATTATTATCCTTGTTTTAAGCAGAACGCACAGAAAACGCCATGGAAAAATTAATAGTTTAGAAAGTGTCTTTTCACTATTGCCACACACAGCTCCTGTTCTTGTCAGGCGTTTCCCTCAGGTGAAATTTGGGATGAACGTGGAAATTTAAAAGCAAAACAGAACACCTCCTTTGAACTTCAGTCATACTGTTGCTGTTTTTTGTGGTTTTTTATTTAAATACCACTACAGGATATAAAATTACACTTGGAACTGAGGAGAAAAAAAATACATACATTTAGATTATTTACATAATTTACATAAATATGACAAAAATTTGCTCGGTAGGCAGATGGCGACGGGGGTGTTCCAGCAGGAACCCTGGAACATAAACCCACGGGGGTTTCCCATATTTCCATGTGGGAATTCCATCCCTGTACACAAAAGAAACAACCCCATGATGGAGAAGAAAGGATTTGGCCTTGGAATTGCTTTGGCATGGCTGAAAGCTGTCCCTGCCCTCCCTCCCTGCCTGCAGTCACCCTCAGCATCCATTTCTCTTTCCAATCTTATCCTGATGACACCTCTGCACTCATTTCCTCAACTCTTTTTCATCTCTTTTTTTAAACTTAAAAACCACAAAACCATCTGAGCTGTATTCTTTAAAAAATACCATTTATATGGTTCATTTCTACTATCAGCATTTTTTTTAAAGAAACTTTTAGACCAGTTTCAAACTCTCAGTGAAGCCTGGTTGATCTTTAAATGAAGTTCCTGATTTCATGAACTGAAGCTCTGAGCCATGGTTTGACACACAAATAAATGTTCTAATTTTCTGAGAACTCAGTGTGATGGTGCAAGCTTTTGACACCACTTTTTCAAGTATTCCTTGGAGCACTTTATTCCAACTTGCTCTGCAATGCCCTGGAGCAGCAGCTCATTTACCTCAAATTTCAATCTCCAATTTTTCTCACCTATCATTTTGCTGTTAGCCCAACAAAATAAATATTCACTTTGCAGTGTTACAAAACCCTTTCAGGTGTATTGCTGTGCTACTCCAGGAGCTGAGCAAGCCTGAAAATCACTTTTTTTTGGAAATTATTTACTGATCCCTTCAGCCTCAGAATTTCTCACATAATCCTGTTGAAGGGATTTTCTTCTCGGCCGTGACTGATTCAATGAATGAAAAATGTGGACTTTGTTCCAGCTCCTCAGTCCACTTTCACAGCTTTTTCCAGATTTAGGCACCATGAAGAGAGGGAAAAGCTACAGGACAACTTTCCTGGAGTTTTTTTTCCTAAATTCCGCTGACACTCATGTTAATGATTTCAATGATGGTGTTTTCCACACACTGGCACAGCTGAACGTCGGGGTCCAGGCTTGCAGTGTCCCTGGAGCAGCTTTTGCTGGAGAAATCTTTACAGAGCCCTGAGAAATCATGTGGCTTCTCCTTCAGCTGCTGGAGACCTAGAAAATGCATCAGGAGAGGCAAAATAAATATTGAGAATTTTTATTTCCAGCCATAAATATGAGATTGCAAAGCTGAGGCAGCACCATCCCATGCTTCACCAAGGTTATTTCCAGAAACACCATGTCAGAATCTGAAATACTCTTAGAACTTCAGGCTTGTAAGCTGAAGTCTAGTATTAAACACAAGATTTGATGTGAAACTTTAGAAAAAGCTTCCAAACTTAAATACTAGTAGCAAGAATATGAATTTATAGTTTACAGCAAAACCACATTAAACTAAGTAAAAAAAAGTTCAGAGTTTTAAAGTTTAAAATATAAAAAAAAAAAAGCAGTTACAAAAGCAAACAAGAAGTTTAAAATACAGTACTGTTAAGTTTATGTATCATAACATAATTAGATGAAGAAACACTGAGTCCATAAGATGAAACATTTAAAAATTGAGTCAAAAACATAAATATCCTTATTAATAATATTTTATTGATCAATAGCTCCTTAAGAAGTCTTGTAACTAAAGGTCTTGTGACCTTCTAAATCAAAATATAATGATATAAACTGAACTCACCCTTCCTACCTATATAAAATATTAAAAAAATTAACCACATCATCAAAACCAATTCAAAAGTCCCATCTCAAATCCTTCCAAAACTCTCTACAAGTCAAGTATCACAATACCACGACATTTGAGTAAATAATGAAAGTAAATTAAGTAAATTACCACAAGACCACAACATTTCTGTCTCATTTCCCTGTGCCTGATCCCTTTGGGGTGCTAAGTCCTTGACTTACGGGTGATGATGGGGTCGAAGTCTCGAGTCTGTGTAGCAACATCAGAGGCACAAACTTGTCCAATTTGGATCAGCAGGGACATGATGTCCTCATAGAGGGGGGGAAAGGCTTGGCAGAAGGACACCAGGCAGGGCAGGGTGGGCATGAAAAACGTGTAACGCTTGGACTGGGTCAGAACTGGCAAGGAGGAGGAAATGCAGAAGTAAAAATTGATTATTATAAAATCCAAGCAAGAATTGTTACTTTTACAATAGCAATTAGACAGACAAAGCTGCATTCAGCCTAGAGAAACCCTCCTGGCTCCCCCAGCCGTGGATTTTGGGGTGTCTGGGGTGGTACCTGTGAGCAGGGTCCCCATCACGTTGATGGCCAAACGAGCCACGCTGAGGGATTTGGGCAGGGCATACTGGATACACAGGTAGGAGAGCAACTGGATGGCAAAGATCTGCCAAAGGAGAGAAAAGCAATGAAGTTACAGCATGGTTTACACCTTCTATCCAAAGCTCTTCACCACACTTAACAGTTGTAAGTTAATATTCCCTGCTTTACCATGAAGGAAGCCAATTGAAGCGTTAACAAGAGCTATTATGATTATTTTTCTGCTGATACGAAGAAAAATAACCCACACATATTTAATATTCATCCAAGTGTTTCAAAATCTCCCTGAGACTCTTGCTCCAACATTAATGATGAGCAATAAAGCAACACACAATGTGCAACACAAGCCTTGCAGAAGACATTTAGGTCTGATCCATTCTAGTTTTAATCTTAGCTGATCAGTAACTTAATACCAGAAAGGATTAAATAAGAGCAACTACAAAGTTAGTTTGATACAGAAACAGGGAATATTTATTCCAACAAATTGCATTTGCCTTCAATGCCAGGCTTTAATTTAATGTAAAAGTGCTACAAATATTCCCTGAATATCCCAGGCAAGCTAGAACAGGATGTTTTTATTGTCTGTTTATTCTCCCCCCTCAGCCAGCATTTAATCAGGGTTAGTACCCACAGTGATTCCCCAGCCAGCGGACTGCTCAGTACCTGTTTTTCCAGTTCAGGCTGGGCAATGAGCTCAGGAATGAAATCCAGACAGATGTGCATGGATGGGATCCCAGCCACTGTCAGTGCCAGAAGTTCACACGGATAACCCTGTGGGATTAAGGAAAGAGGGGTGCCAATGTGTCACAGGTGTGTTTTAAAAATTCTGCTTCAATTAAGATTTTAAAGTACACTGTGTTAATGTTTTGTTTCAAAATTAATATATTTATAACTCCCTTTTGTCCAGAGTTTGTAGCAGGCCTTTAATGCCAAGGCAACAAGAGGCAGACGGGGTACAAACCCAGGGTCTGGATCGTTTCTTCAGATCAATATTCAAAGGAAAGCAGACTGCAGTGACCTTTTCCTTCTGTGTCTTTCCTGTGTTCCAAATTTCACCATCAGCCCCAATCTGCTCATTTCACAACTGCCCCATAATGACTTTTTTATCACTTAATCAGTTCCAGGTCAAGGCAAATTATCTCCTTGTAAAGAGTCTGCCATCTGGCAGGGAGCAATTTAATATGCATTAAAAACACATTTGTATTTTAGAAATTACTGATCTTCCCCCTCTTCTGGTTTTTTTTGGTTTTTTTTTTGAAGGTGCTCAGCTGCTGTTGCAGGGCCAACCTTTCTCCTTCCACCCTAAAGATATAAACTGTGCCCAAACAAAAAGGAAAGATAAGAAGATGTTTACATTTGAGTAATGGGAATATTAATTTCAAAACACATCCAGAAATAAGTAACCCACAAAAGACGTGGAACGAGTAATTACAAGGTGATTAGGGCAGTTTTCCTTGGCCTAGATGGACAAACTGAAAAGGGCAGAGGCACAAAGGAGGGGTTAAATGATGAAGAAGAGGCAGAGTCTGGGTGCTGCTGCCTTCTCACCACAACCAAGCACTGAAATAGGGAGGAAGTGTGAGCTCTACAAATGGGAGGAGACAGAAGGAGAAAAGTGGGCTGTTCTCATTTCTGAGAACACCCAGCAGCCCCTGACCATGCCCTTGGCTCCTTCCCAGCCTGACACGGCAGAGGAGAGCTCAGGCAGCAGAGCTGACCTGGAAATGCACGAGTTTGACGATGTTGGGGTCAGCAATGTACATCTGGTGCAGCAGGCAGCAGATGAGGCACTGCACTTCCCGCAGGTTGCACAGCAAACTCTGCTCCTCCTCCTCTTCCTTTTCCTCCTCTTCTTCCTCCTTTGTGCCCTGTGGGCTCTGGGGGCTCTGCACATCCCTCAGCAATCCATGGGCACTGCTGCTCTGGCCCTTCTCCTCTTCTGTAGGCAAGCAAATCTCCAGAAGGATCTGCACAGCAGCACTGTCCTGGGGAGAAAAGCCACAGCAGATGCTTAAAAACCCCCAGTGAAATAAAACCAATCCAATA